TATATATTATAGTACTAAACGCTGCTCACGGCCACAACACCAGACCTAGACTATAGAGTGCTACCATCATCTTTCGAGATGGAAGGATGCCTGATGATAGTACAAGATATTAGCTATAGGCTGCTCAGCGCTTAAGTGTAGAGGGGGTAACAGGGAGAAAATTCGAAGATTGAATCGTTTTCTTGTGCCCCTATTGTATCGTCCTGGCTGTGCTTTTACAATGTTTATATCTACACGTGCAAACCGTATTCCACCCCCTTTTTAACGCCCCTCCCCCTTTGTGGTTATCTTAGTCAAACTATAATAAACGGGGCCCTTAGGTTTACAACCATATACACATGTGTGTAGGCACACATACACGGACGAAGGCCAAGGAAAAAGTTCCTCTTCTCACATTGTGTTTACGTCACGATAGTGTCATATCGAACCAAAGCAGACGGTTAACACACATTGTAAAGCATTTTGTTGATAAGACAAAACTATATGTATGATCGGACCATTGGTATTTAGTAGTAATAAGCTTAGCTGAAATTAGGAAATAGAAAATGATCACATGTCTTGATCAATAAACAAGGAATACAGTAGATTTTGTATTGGAAAATAGTTTTACAACTTAACATTAATGATATAAAACAGGAAAATTGTATGATTTCAAGTGATGCATTCTACATTTTTTCTATAGACTGAGCGACTAGGGCCTTGTTCTGTCACTTATAAAGAATTGTGCTGATTAAAATTCTGATAATTCAACCATACCCCCCCCCCCGCTTTTTGTTCTAAGATACGAAAAGGACATAGAATCAAACTAGTCATCCTTTTGTAGTAGAGGTCTCTGCCAAACAACAGTCATTGAAATTTCATAGCAATTTTTTTCATTATGAAGAGGTTATCAGAAATGCTACAAGGAATATCTATGTATGTGTCCTTCAGGTAGATGCACAAAGATTTCTCAACGTTTTGACAACATATGGTCTGAATAGACACAGTTTAGTGTTTTAAAAAAAGATGTCCATATAATGTCAAGAAAAATACATATATAATACTCATTCCCCATATAGTAAACAGGTAAAGCTTCGGAATTTCATCTTAAGAAATAAGATTAATAAAATAGTTTGCAGTTTTGTTTTCATCCCGCACGTGAAAATCTGTGTCAGAAAAGATACCATCAACTTTTATCAACCGCACTAAAAACTCCACGCAAAATGAAAGCTGTCATTTTGCCCACGTTTTTATTTATGCCGGGTTATAAAAACTGACGGCGCTTTTTCCTGCATCTGACCTATTAAAGAAACGGCACAGCCCTTTAATAGTGATCCGTTTATCTACATGATAGGACAATCTCACGTAAAACCCCAGCAATATAACGAAAGGTAAAAATGAAGTAATCTTTCATCTCTTTTCCACATCAGACGTCATATAGTGGTTTGTACACACAAGAACATATCCGCGGAATTCGGCAAATCTCTCCGCGTGTTTGAGATTGTTATGGTAGTGGGAGATATCGCCGGGGTAATTTCCTGATTGCGAGTCCTTTGTGGGTAACCAGGCAGCGGGCGAGGAGTGGTTGTTGACGGGGTGAGATAGGGCAGGGTTCCGCCGGGGGAAGGCACGCAGATAGGCGGCGCGGGGAAAACCTCGGGACGGGGGTAAAAATATACATAAACTCCGGGAGCGTAACGGCCCGGGAGATAGCGGGACAGGATAAGATCCCATCAGTGTCTGGGGTTTAAGGAAAGATCGAGAAGAGGCTGGTGTAGTATTAAGAACATTTGCCAGGTAGTTGACTTCAGATACGAATAGCCAGAGATATATTTGTGTTTTTGTTGTTGTTTTGGTGGGAATGAATTTAGACTTGCAGTTTTTGTAACGTCATTGATATAAACGTCTTCAATAGCGATGTCTTATAGTACGTTTATGATATTGCCCTGAAACTATCCCACTAGAATAGAGACTCCATATATTCCATATATTTGCTATTGTGTGATCGCTTTATACGCTGACGAAACTAGCAACAGTAGTTTTCACTCAAGCGACTTGAAAAAAAAAATTCAAATGTTCCACTCCCCAGATATGAAGACGAAAAGAATGTTATAGTTATATATATGCACATATACATCCAGCAAATATGGGCTTCTTCATAATCATGAATATTTCATTGTTCCAGGGTTTGTTAAAATAACTGCTTACAAATATGATTATCAATTCGTATATAGATTCACCGAAGATTTCTTGTATGTTCTAGACTTATAGGCCTCATGTAATATCAATACTCAAAAGAAAGAAATACGCAAATCTGACAAGAATTTAGGATAATAAGAAAAGAGTATTCATGGAGACATTATGAAAATGACTTCATCACAACTTTCTGTGCACTTTCTTTGCATTATCATTCGTTGCAATATAAAAGTACTTTTCGACTCTGAGCGAAAGCAAAGCCTGTCTTTTGTTACCCCACTATTCTTTCTTATAACCTTTCACTACAAAGTCTAGCAAACTAGCCTCTACCAGGCTTCAGAAGCGGCTGGAAAGCTCCCGAGAGCGCGCATATGTACTCCTTTAGCGGACCAACTCTCCTGGCATGTTGTCTGTCCATTTGGTCAATTTCTACTCTTCCAGTCCCTTCTGAAGCCTGGTAGAGAATAGCAATGCTAGGTGTACATTTCCAGACATCTGCTATCATGAACATAATCAAAATTTGCTCACACTGCAGTCTAGAACGCATTTCACTACACACAAATTAAACGCAATCAATCGTTTTTTATCCATCAACGTTAAGTTAAGTGAAGCAAAAAAAGACTTGTTGCTGCAAACTTGGGTGAAACTTTTTCATTGATATCTTTCGTGAAGCCTTTGACAGAATTGAACTATAGAGTCTGAAATGTTCTTTAAACTGTTCCATACACCACAAGAAAGATACATCCACATATCTGCTTAACCGGTAATCTTAAAAACACTTATCTAGGTTTTCTAGATGAATACCATGTATGAATGACTGACATAGAATGGCTAGTGTTAGTAGGAACACGGAATACGATATGTTCAATTACATTACAGTTTGGCGTTTTAATCACATCAAGTTTTGTGTTAATTTCTTAATTGATCTGGGTCTATATGATGTTTCTCTTTTCGTAATTGAAACTTTTCACAGTGTTTTCTTCAGAACATCGACACTGACAATAAGTAAAAAAATCATTTTATATCGTTTTAGCCTAGAATTAACGTTTTAACCCTTGTCGTAGTGAATTCGGTCATCTTTATTTCACAAAAAAATAAACGGAAAAGGCGGCGATACTTGTTTTAGACGGACGCAAGCTAAACGCATTCCAAAAATACTCATTCCCAGTTTGTGTTTATGTTTCATGGAAAGTCGACACGGTGCCATGTTATGATCACACATAGCTTTTATGATAACGCCAACTCTTGGACCAAGATTGTGAAAGAGCGCGCAACTAGTGCCAACAAAAATGTTCCGCGAACTACTAACTCTGTACCTGGCGTTTTGTTTGAACTTTCTTTTAGATTAAAAGCCCAAGAAGCACAGGATTCTGTTAGAATACATAACCATTGAAAGATATCAATTTCATACATAGAATTGTAAATGATATTCTTTTCCTTGCTTAATCTTTTTTTGCCCAAATTTAGCCCCCAAAGTCGCACCGTCCTACCTTTACTCTCCTTTATAAATTCTTGAAACAGCACTAAAATATAAATAGTACTTCGCGGGTAGTTTTCAGGCACTGGCTTCATTGTTTTACTGGTTGGTCGTTATATGGATTGTGCTTCTCTCAACAGGGAGCCCCCCCCCTCCTGCGCCCGACATAATACCTACACCTTAGAGCCTAATAACGCTAGCAAACGTGAAAGCTGCACCCTCTGCTAGCAAATCTGTTTTATGAATGAAAACATTTCCCGTTATATTTCCGTGCTTTTCCAGAAAGTGTTTCCTTTGCGTTTCTATTGTTACACGCCGGAGGTAACGTTACTAAGAAAATCTCTCTACGGGGGACTTTCTGTGGTGTACCCGGGTACAGGAGAAGATTGCTCCCCGACAATCCCTCACCAGCTCGACACGCAAACATACACAAATCCTCGTGTGAAAAAAATTACACTACATCATCCCGCTATCATTTTGTACCATCTTCATCCCACGAAAGAAGATAAGGATCGACTTTCCAGTGTATTTCTGGCGCGTGATGCACACAATTAGAGTGTATTACTACTATAGTAGATCGTAGCCGAATTCTGTTTTGCATTTCCGTACGACGTGATTAAAAGTACTGCGTGATTTTGGGTTTGGAATTTCCGTCTTGTGTTGTCCAAAAACAAAGATTTTTAAACACTTTTTATTGCGTTAGCAAATGTGGTATACTGAATATCCCATGCTATGTTGGTAAACAAAACAACACATGAAATCCGTTTTGGCTCCGCCTTTGTGTTCTACAGTCACGGGCTGATTTCATTAAACACTTTTGGGGGGGGATTCGCCGCTTCCAAAATCTTGGCACGCATTCTTCCGCTCATCATTTATTGTTATGCCTCCCTCCAATTTTGACCCTGTTTGTTGTGTGATACCAATTTTACCAAAGCCGTACATTACAAAAGACGTTTTGATGCAATCTTTACACGTACATTGGAAATTGACCGTTACCCGTACGTAGTTTGGTTAAACTCCTGATTGCTTGTTTGTAGCGCTTTCTTATATTGCTCATTACGGACGGCATAATCGGCAGAACGACCTAGAAAAAGAGCCATTGGTAGGGGCGCGTGTCATCTCACGCTGGTCTGCCAGAACACCGGAGCTCTGACTCAATAGCTCGCCGAATTTTCCATCGTACTGTATGAAAGGCAATTACGTTCACTCGGCAGAAGCTGAGCTATTGTGTCGTACCCATTCAGCGTTAGCACTAAAAATGTCCCGAATTTCACCTACAGTACAAACCTACCCTAAAACTTCATACTTTACCAGGTCACAAAATTGATTCTCAGAAAGAGACGAGTACAAGAGATTCAGTAGCACGTTTCTGTGAGTGAATTTATTTCCTTTACAACGAAAAAGATAAAATTTCCGCTCTAACATCGAACAAAGAAACATAACGGGACGAAATTTTCAACATGTTCTGTACAACAACATTGTGACAACATGGGCCCAAAATGGGACCGGCGTATTTTTCATACTATCCTCAACATTCTCACTAATATATTAATAAATTATCTAAAAGCTCATTAACTATATTGGCTATCTTCGAAATTGTACAAATCAATTCGAGTGAAATATATATGCTACAACATTCAACACAAATTCGAATTCTCTCTTCTCATACATACAATACATTCTTGGTCAGATTTTGAACTCATGATTTCGGAATTTCTGTCTTTTCCTTCCTCTGATAATCTTTCATACAAATTCTTCACAAATCTAGGCCATTTTCTACACGTAATGGTCTTCATGTATACAACGTCATCTGATTGTTTGCCACAAAAGCTCCTCGTGCTAATAAGGTAGAACTAGAACAGGGAACAACACAGAAGAAATCTTGGGGAATGTACGTTAGGATTGTGCGATCGCGATTATCTAAAAACCATGCTACACATACTGTGCTCGGTTAATTGTTGAGAGAAGTGTTTAGGTGAGAAGACATTTTCCGTGTCCTTTCTTCTTTGTTTCCCGTGTTCATATTTACTGAATTTTGGACACAGCTGATTCTGACAGCGTGTCAACCTACCTGTTTTCTGTGCCGACACTGCAGAGTTTGTATAACACCCTGACACAACAAAATGTAACTAATAAACTTCTGGGGGTGGCATTTTTTCTTTTCCTGGCCGGTGGCTCGAAGCCTACAGTAGGGTAGGTGTACGCAAAGCTACCTCTCTCTGACAACATCAGTCTAGAATCGGTACAGGTCCTATAGCATTTGGAGTTCAAGAAAGGTACAGCCTTTGTAGAAAATCGCAACGCTCGCTGCGTTAAGTTCTACATGCATATGGCACATTGTTAAGTTACGGCCTGCTACAATACCGGCACGTCCAACATTTACCTATGTAAAAAGTCGTCAGCTCTATGGACATAGTTTTTAAAAACTAGCGCTAGAGTGGCCGAAAAATGTTCCTAGCCGACACTTAGGACAGTTTTCTACGGCGAATGTGTTAAGTTTAGTGTCGGTGCTGTTGTTTTTCCTCTCTCTTTTTTTCACCACGCTCTTCCTTGCTGTAGAAGGTATTGTGAGGACGAGCATGAAGACATGGTGTTGTTCGCATAGTTTCCCGAGCTCATGTGAGAGTTCAGTCCGTTGACGTTGACCGTGGCTACGGTGGTACCGATGATGTTCGCCTGACTCTGCGGGTTGAGTTGCGGGGTGGCCGCGGACATGTTGGCCGTGACGCCGGTCACCGGGGTCGTGGAGGGAGTATTTCCGCACGGCTTGCCGTCTTTGACTAGAACGGGCACGGCGACGCGCCGGGGGGAGTTCCCGGCGGCACACATGTTCTGCTGGCCGGCTTGCCCCTGCACCTGCCCCGCCTGGTGCTGAGAAACCTGCTGCTGTTGCTGCTGCTGCTGTGGTTGTTGTTGCTGTTGTTGCTGCTGCTGCTGCTGTGAAGGCTGGTCTGTGCTGGACTTCTGCCGCTCCTTGTCTTGCCGCTTGCACTTGTAGCGGTGGTTCTGGAACCAGATTTTCACCTGCGTCGGCGTGAGGTTGATGAGCTGGGCCAGGTGCTCGCGCTCGGGCGCCGACAGGTACTTCTGCTGCTTGAAGCGCCGCTCCAGCTCGTACACCTGCGCCTGGGAGAACAGCACTCGTCTCTTGCGGCGCTGAGTGGTTGGCAAGATCGGCTTGGGCCCCTCGATGGTGCCGAGAGACATTCCCATGTTCCCCATACCTCCCGAGTGACCTCCCATCAGCCGTGGAACTGTGGAAAACGACGGGCTTTTAGATGACAATGACTCGCAAAATGCTCCGTAAAAAGGCAAAGAAGTCATGGTTACAAGGTTAGCAGGCCAGGATTTCTTTACTGAGGTTTTTCCTTCAGGAGAAAAAAAACTACTCTCTCTCTCTCTCCCTCTTAGCAGGACCGCTCTCTAACAGACGTTATTGTGAGGTGTCAACCAAAATATCCGAAAATGATTTAGTCCAGAGGTTATGTGTACGTGTGGCGAGGATTTGTGTGTCAAAACTCTGCAGGCTTCCGTCAGACAAAGCCAAACGAGTCGTATCCCACTGATAGTTGGCGGAGTCCTTTGAATAAAGCCATTAAGATAAGGGTAGAAAGAATGCGTTGGAAGTTTTTTTAAAGACCCAGTCTTTGCCTGACAGAAATACAAAACTTCCTTTGGCGTGAAAAGTTTGCGCTATTTTCTGAAGACGCATGTCGATTGCACTTGTGCGTTACTCTAACACAATCGGACCTTAGGACTCGTGGACTGGTTGTGTGTATTGGGGTTGAGAGGAACAACTGCCCCAATTCCCTTTGTAAGGTTTCTGTGCTTGTAGGCCAAATATAAATACTTCAGGTTTTGAAGTTTGCGTGGAAGAACATTTCATAAATCAAGAATCCTCCTCAGCTCAAGCTGGCCCGCGCGAGCTACAAAGGTACAAGGACTCTAGAGTCCGCACGAGATAGGGGCATAAACCAACTCACGGGCCATCGTTCACGGGCCTGTAGTGCCCTTCACTGCATCAATTTTATGCCCTCTTTTGGCACTCTTGATTTTTATAAATACTGGACACAGATTGTCAAACAAGACTTAAGGCGACCGTGCGGAGGGAGCGGATGTGAGTTACGGGTTTCGGGCGAGGGTGACAGAACGCAGGGCCGGGGTGGAGATAAGGCCGCCGGCCGGGGTCGAACGACTCGGAAATACTGAACATTGGAGGAATACTTACATGAGAAGCGTGGGTCGGGATTGGCTCCGTACCAGGACGACGCCGTGTTGCGGACGTGTTCGTTGTAGTGCGGCAGGTCGGACACGTTGCCGTTACAGTAGGGGTTGGCCATGCCGTGGGACAGCTGAGTCGGGACGTGCATGTACGGGTTGGACACCGGCACGTTCATGCTCTGGTGCTGCAGGGGCTGAGTCACCTGTTGGCGGTACCCTCCGGCTCCCATGCCGGCGGCGGCGTTCATCGTTCCCGCGTAGCCTCCAGTCATCGTTCCGTCCATGGGCTTCTTGTACATCTCCTCGAGAGGACTGAGGATGTCTGTCACGGAGAACGGGGTCGTTTGCTTAGGGCTTATGGACTCCATGCTTGAGCGGAGGCAAATTTGCGCAAGGGATCAAGCGCGATGTCCTATTCGCTCTCGGCTAGAGGTGAGCTGTCTTCAAACTGTGTGTGGGCCGCCTTGTTATACCAGCTTCAATCGCACGGCACCGGGGGGCTCCAAGCTGCGCGCGCCTCCTGCCCTGTTTACTTTAATTGGGAAGCCTTGTCTTGGCTGAGTTTGGGGGCGGGGTTTCAGACCTTCAAGTGGCAAACAAGGTGCTTGACGTGAAGGGGACACAATTGGCCAGGTCCTGCTCTCCCCGCAGGGCCCGTTGGACATTATCAATCAGAACGCCCAGCGCACCTCATTTGGTATTCAGAAGAGGTTGGGTCTTTCCCATGGCTTCGACAAACGGATGACGTGAATATATTTTCTTGATTTGCGGGAGGAGTGGCATGAAGCCGAGAAAATAAGTAACTAGCCTGATTGGTCCATAAACGTATAAATCTGTCCAATATGAAATATGATTCCGCGCGACGACATTACAGACGCTACAGTCACAATCTACGGCGTATTCATAATATTCCACGAACTGAAAATGCTATTATGGTTCATTTGATTTTTTTCGTGGCAGCGGTGCGACCGTATAGTTCCTAGGAAACTGGTAGTGAACTCAGACTTTTCACACATAGGTAAAACACACACGCACACCTGGTGGGACTCTTATTATACCTGTCGTGTCACACACGCACAGGTGAGAAAATTTCGTGAGACGTAAACCTTGGACTCGCAAGACAACGTCCATTGAATCACGGTGCCAGCCCAACTGGTGAGGCAAAAATCCGGACGCTCTCTCTCCAGGGTTACCCCACACACGTGTGACACTGTCCATTGTCCCCTGCACAGGCCCACCGCCTCCTATATGCATCACAGTAACACAGTGTCAACACACAGATGTAGAAATTCAACCCACGATTTTCCCCAGAGATTTTTTTATTTATTACGCCGAATTCGTCGCCTACCATTCTGCTTTTTAATCCGAGTACGTTCATGGCCTTTTGTCTTTTCACACGTGTTGTTCTCTTTCTCAAAAGGTGTGAAAATCGATCAATTTAGACAATATCTCGTTGGAGAAGATCCCAATTTCGCCAATGGCTAAACAATGGAGCAGATAAACAACGGGAACGGGGATGTGTATCGCTATTATGGGAGACCAGAACGGTTAAATCGTCCGAATAGCATGACAATAACCCATTTTGCTCGTCATTTCTTTGAACACAATAAAAGTGATTGGTCCATTTTTATTGTCGCTAAATTGTCCGGTGGAATTTTTGCCAAGTTGTAAAATTAGCCCCTTTGTTGGGAAAAAGAAAACAAGCCGTACGTCGTTTCCATATAAAAAGAGTAGATCGGGACATATTCTCAGAACATAACACAACATTACGGGTGTTTCCCTTTTTGGAGAGAGCTCTTAGTCTACAAGAGTGGAGTATATCACTATTCAAATTTACACATTGTTGAAAGATATTATACTGGATAAGTAGTCTCCTCAACTAGGAGACGGGTACGAGCGTTGCTCAATCAATTTTGGTTTCAGGGGAAAAGGAAAACATTGCTTCTGGAAATGTTGTGGGTCTGGGACGTGGGAGGGTTTGGAGAGACGAAATGTGAGTTCTGGGTTGGTCTTTTGGGTTCTAGTATCGTCTAGGCCTGCCGTGAATGATGCTTAAGCGTTTATGGTGCGTCTAAAGTGTTGGCACACCGGCTGTAGAGCTAACGTTAACGCTTGTGTGTGCTTTACCGATAGGAACTGCGCACATATACGGTCACAGACAGAGAAAGAGAGAGGGAGAGATCTAGAGTGGGAGACCTCCATCGCTAAACAGAGAACAGAAATCATAGCATCGTCACGAACTCTAACATTTCTGACTCGCAGTCGGATCACTCCTGGTGAGAAAGTGAGGTGTACCCGTGTGTTTTGTCGCACCTCGTGTTGGGCAAAACAGCTCCAAAACAAAATCGGTATCAGCTTAGCGGTTTTTAAGAGGAATCAACAAACCTCAACTTTATTTTCATGTACTCCAACAAAGGACTGGATTTAGAACTGAGATAAAGGTAAGAACGCTCGCCATAATATTTACTTCTGTCGATACAATTTTCTTTCGCACGTCTGGTTGAAAAGCTAGTCCTGCCCCCAAGAGATTTAGAGTTCTAAGTTCGTTTATAGATCCCTAAGAGCAAAGTTGAGCGCGGGGTCATGTGTATATATTTGCTTCCATCATTGCACTGTTGGTTCGCCATGATAGGCATCAGTCAATAAACATTGAATAAACTGCGCACACGTTTGAAGCCCGGGCCGGGCCGACAGGCTTTTGTCTGGCGGTGACATGTTCGTCTTTATTCCGTGTTTTCGGAAGGTTTAATTGTCCGGTCAGCCGGGCGGGTTGCAGTGAACGCGGGTTATATAAATTCCTTGCGGTTTTTCTCTGAACGTAGTTTAGAATGTAAAGGTGTACGTAGGTTATCTATAGTGTAACCTGGGCGAGTGAGAGAGAAAAAAGATACACACGGAAATATAGATGTTCACTCTTTGACTGCTTACATTATAGCTCAATACCTGATATGTGCAATTCATTAACACGCTGCAATATATAAAATATGCTACAACCTTCATTGTTGAAAATAAGTTTTTAAGTTAAAATTAAAATTCAACTCGGAGTCCCTATTTTTATACAACACGGCCTGACGAATGTTTTTTTTTCAATAAAATTGTCAAATAACTCCTTTTGAAGTAAAAATTTGCAGCTAGGATTTTTAGGGGAGATAATAGCAATAAATAGCAATATCGTATTCAACACAAGCCTTCAGAAAACTTGAACAAAGAAAAATATTTTTGTGACTTTTCTGATGAAGAGGTTAGACCCTGCAAGTCGTGCAGATCTGGATACTGAATAAACCATTCATTCATTCACAAAAAGAGCACACGGAAAAGCTCAAGCTCAAAACGGCACGGCAAAAAGCTACATAACAAAACATTCCTATGGATTTTTAGAATCAGCGTCGCATTTGATATTCTGTGTTTGGGACCTTGCTATTTTCAAAGTTATTTTGCATGTTCTTCTTCCAAAGCAAAGTTCTGATATCCTGATCGACACGAATGAGTTTTCGACTAGCATCAAAGAACGTCACATACAAAGTAAAAAGAGGTCACCATGAAAACCCAGAGTCAGTCGAAGTTACTTCTTGTTAAATGTATCCCCTACTTTCACGTAAACCACCCTTTTGTGTCAGATACAAACTATTGTAAATTCATTCTTATATTATAAACTCTAAAACTTCATTGTTCACTTCATATTAATATGTAAAATGAGAAGATACTTCCATATACTTCAGCGCTTCTATGGAGTTGTTAACGTACAAATTGGAAGAGAAGACTGTAAGGTTATTGCTTATTTAAGTATGGTCTACGTTATATTTTGTCAAAATATGATATTTCGTGTCCGCTCCTCGGCTTCCTGAATTACTTACTAGCAACCAACGGCAGAAAATTGTTTGGATCCAACGATAGCCACCTCTACATATTAATCTACGATTCAAACATATAAACAAAAAGAAATCAACAAGATTTGGTGCTTTTTATTATCTTCTTATAGTCATACTCTTCATCAAACACGACAGAGGTGTCCACTGAATAATTCAGGATATTAGGAAAACCACTTTCATTTGTTGTTCACTTCTATTCTGCCGACCACTTCTCAAATATTAAAAACAAAACTATTCCTTTATTCATAAAGAGAAACACTCATTGAGACATCAGTAAAACAATTTTGTAAGCATTTTACATCAACACCATGAACAAAAACTAGTGGTTAAGTTTGACAATAGCTCTCACCAGACGAGCTTCGATTTTGCCTCCAACATCCAAGATTTTCCATCGTCCAAGCAAATGTTACTAAAACAGAAAAATATGAATGTGATACGTTATTTCAAAAGCTGACGCATGTATTTATTCCTAATGAATCCGCCGTGCTATTGTTTTCCAGTTTCATCGTTTATTTTTATTTTTTTTACAAACATTCAGACTGTTTTGTCTGAATGTGTCTGTTTTGACACATTCAGGGTTTTTTTAGAATACCTGATGGGTTTTAGATTGTATATTTCCTACGATTTGGCAAAGACATCATAAAGCTATTTTACAAATAAGGCACACTTTAGTTGCTTTTTGCAATCTACTATTTTAATGTGAGAACTTCTACATTATTCAACATTTACAGTTAATGTAGCAAAAACGTATAGTGCAACGTTGTTTAGATAATTCATTTTCCTTGCGACGTCATCTGTAGAAAGTTGTCCAAGAACAAACGTATTTTCCATAGTATCAAAGGCACAAAAATGTTTAAACGACATATTTTCCCCATTCATGGCAGTAAAGAAAAGCATTATTGTGTCACATACAATGATCGTGCCTAGTGACTTCAAAGCTATAACGGTCGATATCTGACGGTGTTACAATATATAAACCGCCAATACAAAACATTGAACCATGCGAAAATTTGCTGTTATTATTACCATTGCTTTACTGCCACATTTAATAGTATTATCATTACTATTATGTTATAAGAATAGATGATTAAATACGTTTCTTTAGTCCCTTTGCTATGTTCCTCATGGCAATACTACTTTCCACTGCTAAATAGTTCCAGTCAATATTACACTAAGGAGGGTATACGTAGCAGAAGGGCTACCGAAACATTGACAGCTTCATTTTGGTTGTGTAACAAACAACTTTATCATTCATTCACCAACTTGATTAAACCATTTACGGCTTTGGAAAACAGTTTCAGAAGTAGTTTCACGCTGAGTGGTTTTTTAAAGAAATATAATGCATACCATACAGTTATAAAGTTAACGTTCCCTTTCTTTTCAACACAAAACCTGCAAAAATGATTCCATGTTTGATATACATAGAAGAAGAACTTTATCGCACGATAATAGCAGCTGGTACAAGGTATGGCAACTTGTACATACATGGAAGTTGAACTACAGCTTGGATGCGATTTTACCACATTTTGTTGAGCAAAAATCTATCGGCTATTTTCCCGTTCTTCTGTGTCACGTCAATAAAGTTTAACCTCATCTTAGTGTCCTAGTTATAGGAAATAACGAACAAAGACACAAAAACAAAAAACAGTGTTTAATCTGAGTTTGA